CGCCACAGCCGCAGCCGCAGCGGCCATGGGGGCCCTGACAAGCCGGCAGCACGCTGGCGTGGAGGAGGTGGACATCCCGTCCAATTCCGTGTACCGCTACCCGCCCAAGTCCGGTGAGGGCCGGGCGGGCGCCGCGGCTGGGAGCGGGGGGCGAAGAGACGTGGGGGCTCCAGGTCAAGATGCTCCCGAGCGTGGGCCCCGCGGGCCCTCGGGGACCCAGTGATCGAGGCCGCTCTGAAACGACCTTCGAGCGTGAAAGGGCTTCGAGAAGGCCGAGGTCTCCCTAGTCCCAGGCGAAGTAGCGCAGGGGGCTGCGTTAGGGGCCTGGCGGAGTCACCGAGGTCGCAGAGCCCCTCCGCTTGAGGACGTGAGCATCCTCCGTTGTAGTCTGCCCGGTGACAGGAACGTGCTCCCTGCGGGACTGCAGCTCCTGAGGAGCGGAGCTGCAGCGTCACCGGCCGAGGGGTCTTCGCCCCGCACGGACCAGGCTGGCCTGGCTGCAGAGCCCATTGGCCTCGCACGGGCTGGGACCTTAGGGGACACTCTCTTGGCCTCTGTCATGGTCAGGTCCTGTCCCTGGGCTGCCGCATCCAGGCCTCTGGAAAGGTTAGAATTAGGTTTCTAATGGAAAAGCGCCCATTGCCTGCCAGAGGATGGAGGCCGAAAATGCTTTTGCAGTGAGGGTGCGGGTGCTTTTACAGAAGCTATCAGAGGAAAAAAAGTGTTTTATTAGAAATGTTTGGGAATCTGAGTATCAGAGTCACTTGATGGCTCTTTGCCAGAGTAGCGGGCGAGCCTGGTTTTTGGAATTGGGATAGCTCTGGGACAGGGCAGAGGTATTTAATATGTATAGAAATGTTATGTTTATTTTCAGAAAGGATTGTTCCTTCACTTAAAAAGGTAAATGTCTCCAGCCTCTGCATTGTGGCATCCGTAATGGAGTTAGAGGAAGGTTTTAACAGCAAAGGAAGGAATCACAGGAGAAGGTAGTTGAGTTGATGGAGCATCAGCCTCTTTGAACTGCTGGTGCTTTACCTAGCTATCTGCTCTTTATTTTTAATTGCTACTCTGTAGACTTCTGGGGACTGATGACTACCACTCTCTTTGGCTTAGAACCTGACACTGATTTTGGTGATCTTGGAGTGAGGTGTCAGAATTGGAGCAGAGGTGATTCTCATTTTGGTAGAATAAAGACATGCTAATGAGATGAGCTGTTTCTCAGCGGTGTGTCCAGTTTCTGCCAGGTGAAAGCAGGAGCCAGACAGTGAACCTGCATCCCTGCAGAGCGTCTGCCAGAGCTGTGTTTCTCACTGCTTTTGTGCCAAAGAATGAATCTTTGCAGAGATGAATATGATTAAGAGCTGTTTTAGAAAGGTCTAAGGTAAAGCTGTGGATCACTAGTACTTTAATAAAGTGCTTGATAATTATAACTCCCTGAAGCCAATGCTAAAGAGATCATGTGTTTTGTTTTTTCATAGACAAAAATCAGTATTCGTATAATTTTTTAAAAGCAATTAGCTTTTATTGATCAGAATCTGGAACACGTTTTGCTGAGCTTGGATTTCCAGTAGCATTTGCTGTGTCTGGAGAGTATTCACCCCTCCTTCACATATAGGAATTAGCATAGGTAAATCTCTGGAAGGCTGCTCTCCAAAGGATATAAGAATTAATTCAAGTATGAATCTTGAATGATGTTAACAAAAGGATAATAGACCAAACTAAAACTTCCTTTAACTAACACATTAAGTACTTACACAGTTTTAAATAATCCTTTCTACCAGTTTTTATAAAAGTCTTACCTAATTCTAATTCATTTTTAATCAGAAGCTATATATGAGAGAAATCTTGACACAAGTGGACCAAATTATTTATGTTGAAAGTAAAACATGGAAAATAGGGCTCGGCGCCTATAGCTCAACCGGCTAAGGCGCCAGCCACGTACACCTAAGGTGGCAGGTTCGAATCCCCAGCC